TTGCAATTTCATATTATCCGAACAGCAAAACAAAAAATTTAAATTTTTTAAACCTCTTTCTGTTACTATAATGTCGTTTTAATATTAATATTGCTGATTATGTATGAAGGTTGGGAAGACCATGAAGAACAAAGACACAGATTATGCTGTAGAGAGTGTACATGATATAGTCCATGTGATTCCAGAGATATGGGTAAATGGATCAGACGGTGGTGACCAAGGGATTAGCAGAACAAGAAGTGAACTAGGTGCAATTCTTTCGACCACAACTCCTGTAGGGGCTTGATAAATATCTGCTATATATCTTCATCTGGGACCCTTGAATTATTTTGCAGGGGTCCCCCTGTACGTGTCATGTTAATCACGTGGGTGTAACTGTATTGAAATGTGCATAATGCTTTTGTACATGAACTGGGTATGAACTTGGCCTGCCTTTACTGTATTAATATAAATAAATAAATTTTATTTGCTTTTTATTTTTATTTTATTTTATTTTGAACAATTTATCAAGGAGTAGGCTTAAACCCACCCAAGGAGAGAAAGGCAATGCATCTCATGGTGACAGGGTGCCACTTACCCGAAAGCCGGGTGCAATTTTATTTGCTTTTTATTTGTTGCATGAACTTGAAATTTTTATTTCAGCTAGAGGTTTCAATTTCAAAGCATAATTAAAGATGGTTGCTTTCTTTGGGCATGCTAGAACACTTTTTAACGGTTACCATCAAGTTAATTAGTCGCTCCCTTCTTTTTTTTTTTTTTTTTTTCTTGGTTTGTATTGGAAGTCAAAATAGTGAGAAAAGAAAACACAAAAATGTGAAAATTGAAAGAAATACCAACCTCAACAAGAGAATTTTACAATAGAATTAATGTTTAAAGTCAAAAGAAAATAATAAAGTTATGTACAAAAAAAAAAAAGTGGTTACCTTCTGTTTCTTCAAAAATCTTCTAGTGGCCTCGCATGTGTGAAATCTGGATGCGGTCGTGCCACTTCCTTTGCTGAAAGTAAGAAAGGAGGACTTTTTCAATGACCCTCTCTTTCCTCACGGTCGACCTCTTTGCAAATTGTGGGAAGAATGTTAGATTAAAATCGAAATTGCGCCTTCAGACGATTTGCAAGAGGGAGGGATGCCTTCCTGCAGATTGGGTTACAAAATCTGCCTTGGACAACTCCAAGGACTTAAAACACTATCGTGACTTAAAATTAACAAATCCTAATTATTCTAAATTACCTGCAATTTAAACTATGTTTGCAAGAAATAAATGTACCTAAATTAAATTAGACATGCTTATGGCAAAATTAAAATGCAATCTATTGACAAATTTAAAAGTTAAATTGCTGCAGAGTTAACCCTAATTAACTCTAAAATTAAATGTGAACAGTGAATAAATTGCAGAACTTGAAGTTGAAAAGAAGCATGAAAACCACACAAGTAATCATTGAAGCAATGTTACTTAAAATAAACATTAAATTAATTATAAATAGAAAATGAATAGTACCTGGAAGGAACTTGAAATGTTGAAATTCATTGCATGAAGAGAAACTGATGTAGCAAGTACATAAATTAAATTGTCTACTGAAATGGTGAAGAACAACCTAATTCTAATGGAATCTGTGCTGAAATTCAAAATCTGGAAGCAGATTGCAGAGAAAATCAAAGTATGAAAATTTACAGCTGTTTGAGTAGAGCTGACCGTGTGTTCTCCCTTCCAAATTTTCCTTTTTGTCCTTCTTGTGCAGGCAGTTACTTCCACTTTCTGTAGTTACTCAATCATTGGTGATTTTTTGAAGTAGTGGGACACCTCACCTTTCGACCTAGTCTAATCCCCTTTCAGATTTCGCCACTTATACACTTATCAGATAAAACCCCTTTTTAACTGTGATCTTCTCCTATTTTCCAACTCCCATTATCCCTTCCTGTATCAAGAAGATAATTACTCCATAAAAAATTATCTTTACCTCTCCTATTTTACCAACACAAGTGCTGATTTGTCCTGAGGCCCATAATCCGAATCTGACATGGCTCAAACTCCTCCGACCAATAAAAAATATTTTACACGTGGCATTAATTTAAAATTTTGCAATTTATGATGTAAACACCTTCTTTAAAGCAGAGGGAATATTATTGGGTTTTTTTTTTAATTTATTATCATAAATCTTCAATTTAGTTTTCATATATTTTGAAATTAATTTATTTATAAATAATTTATTTTTTTAAGCGTTAGTTTTAAAATTTAGATGCTGAACATAATTTATAAAATAATAGTTATTTATTAATAAATTTAAGCGAATTGGAAGTATTATTATTATTTATTGTTAGAAGTAACTAAACAAATTTAAAAAAAAATGGCGATTCAAGAAGCTTATGATATAAGAATAATAATAATTAACAATATGTGGAGGCATGATACAGCAAGGTATGATGTGTTACACTAAGGGATATTAATAAAAGATTATGTGTCCGCGTCAGCCCCATCCCTATCCACTGGTGTCACCCCAAAGGGCACCAGACAGAGAAATGAGGAACCACCAGTGGATCCACATCATCTCCATTACTAAAATTATCTTTCAATTCCACGAGAGAGAGAGAAAGAAAACAAAACGTGTTGCATGTAGAAGGAGGGGAAGCCATGGTTGCTGGAACATCAAATACCTGTTGCTTTCATTCTTATTACTTTAACCATATCATTCAAGTTACTAGTACGCCTATTTTTATTATAATATTCACGAGATGTTGTTCTAAGCTTTTTGATGGTTGGCCTTCGCAAAGTAGGGTAATAATCCCTCCCCCACTTTAGCCTAAGAAAATGTCTATTTTATATGTCTGTCCTCGAAGTAAATGAACTGAAAATTCATTAATTATTTAATGAGTTTTATTTTTATTAACTTGAAATACTTATGGTTAATAACCATGTAATATTTTTAGACAAATCATACATCGATAAAATATGAGAGAAATACCATATATACAAGTCAACATTCATTAACCTGTTTTGACATAGTTTAAAACTGTGAAATCTAACAAATTATAATAAATAATATCAATAATAGGTTGAGTTGTTATAAAGTGCTTGTAGTCTTGGGTGGATTGACAATCTACATCCAAAACCTTGATTCATGTCAAGGTTTAGGTGCATCTTGAGATATTTGCAAAATTTTTCCCTTCCTTCAAAATTTTCCTATGTTTAAAAAAGAAAGTTCTCATTCTTTATTCAAAAAATTGAATCCAACATAGAAAATGAGTTCCGTATTAGACATCTCAATCATATGTGTTTAATATTATGTGGTAACTATCAATATTTAACAAAGTAATTGGTGGGTCATATGCCTACCCGAGCTTAATTCTAATCTAATGATTAAGAAAATGACTCTAGATAAGTTCAATGTATGAAAAAAAAATATAATAAATTAATTTGAATTATTTTATTTTATGCTGTTCTTAATTTTTTTTAAGGACAAAATAAAGTGGTTTTTACTTACAAATTACAATATTTTATATAATGTGATAAGACATTAAAGAAGTAATTAACTCTTCTTACTCAATTTAATCAGTACGTTTCTACTTATTTAATGCACGCCACATTATATGAATCATTCTAGCTGAATCATTAAGGAAGAAATAAAGCCGATCAAATAAAGTAAATAAAGGAAG